TACATATACGTATTCTAGTCTCGTCATTCGGTAACAAATACTCCCTCTGTCCCTTTATTTGTGTGGCTTTCGCATCTTAGAGGTATAGCTGAATCTCTATGAACGTGGATACTATTTTCTGTCCAGATGCATGGCAGGGGCTGTGAATGTGGACATTAAAATCCACTGAAACATCAACAGTCAAAGAGTGATGGAGGAAGTACGTGACAATATTCTGTGGTTGTTTTAAAGCAACTATCACTACGCCAGATTCTTACAGCAGGAACGGGAGCATTTTTACTGTAGGGGCGGCTGGAGTTGGGGACGCCCCTACAGTGGGCGTCCTCGGGCCCCAGCAGCCCAGCCGAGCCTACAGTTGGGGCTGATCTGTAGGGGCGGCTCGATCACCAGCCGCCTCTGTAGTGCCCACTTGTCTTTTTTCAAATTTCAAAATTTGAAATGTTTAAATTTATTCAAATAACAAGATAACCAAAATAAAAGTTGTATATCTTGATGAGTTCAACAACTTTTGTATCCATCACTTTTACATATGAAATCATTTAGGGTTTGAAAATTTAGTTTGAACTTGTCAAATTTCAAATTTTAAAATGTGTAAAACATTATCACATCCAAGTTTGATCAAACTTAAATGCTGAAGCATGATTTTAGAAATTTTTAGGAAACAAAACCATCACATTTGGAGTTAGTATAAGGAAGAACAACTAATTACAAAGTTTATCCACATATTAAAAAGAGAAATCACACTGTTCTATGATCCATGATCATAGTGAACAATGTGATTTCTTTTTTTAATCTGTGGGTCAACTTTATAACTAGTTTTTCTTCCTCATACTAACTCCAAATCTGATGATTTTTTTTCTAAAATTTTCTAAAATCATTCTCTATCAATTTATTTTGTTGGTTTTGTCAATATATACATATGAAAAGTTTGAGCAATTTAAATTTTGAATTTCAAAAAAATGTAACTTCAGACAAGATTTTGGTTCCCCAAATAATTTCAGCTGAAAAAATGATAAATACCAAAGTTGAATAACTCATCAAGATCTATAACTTTTGTATTGGTCATTTCTTCATATGACAAATTGGTAACGACATTGTTCACAAATGTGACACATCTCTCATAAGTTTTTATAAACTATATGAGACATGTGTAAGATTAGTGAACAATGTGTGATAAGAATTTGTCAAATGAAGAAATGACTAAAATAAAAGTTGTAGATATTCATGAGTTGAACAACTTTGGTATTCATCGTTTTTTATGTTGAAATCAATTTGGGTCTCAAGTTTTCGTTCGAACTTGTCGTTTTTCAAAATTTCCAATTTGAAAGGTACAAATTTTGTCAAATGACAAGATGACTAAAATAAAAGTTGTAGATATTAATGAGTTGAACAACTTTGGTATTCATCGCTTTTTATGTTGAAGTCATTTTGGGTCTCAAATTTTGGTTCGAACTTATCATTTTTTAAAATTTCAAATTTAAAAGGTTCAAATTTTGTCAAATGACAAGATGACCAAAATAAAAGTTGTACATCTTGATGAGTTGAACAACTTTTGTATTCATCCCTTTTACATATGAAATCATTTAGGGTTTGAAAAATTCGTTTGAACTTATCAAATTTCAAATTTTAAATTTTAAAATGTGTAAAACATTGTCACATCCAAGTTTGATCAAAACTTAAATGCCGAAGCATGATTTTAGAAATTTTTAGGAAAAAAATCATCACATTTGGAGTTAGCATGAGAGAGAACAACTAGTTATAAAGTTTACCCACAGATTAAAAAGAAAAATCACACTGTTCTATATGATCCTTACATGATTTCATGAAGAATAATGACACGATATTGTCATGTCAAATAAGTGTCATTATTAGATTCTTCATGAAATCATTTGACTAAAGACGGAACTACAATTTTCTTTTGTAAGACGGAGGGTAGCATGCTAGCACTTAGGTGTCATAACTCATAACCGTGATTATCAAAGGGACGTGTACAGTAAGTTGTAAAACAATCATCAATGTACCTAATCCTAGTCATGAGAAACAATAGATGGAAAAGCAATAACCTCTCTCTGCTTGGAATATATTACAAGGCGTGGAGCAAATTCCTGCACATTCTGTGGACTTATATATCTTACAACAATTTGACATTTAGATATATAATTGTCTTGAAACAGACAGCGGAACATCTTCTTTAATAAAAAAAATGAGAAGTGCAGATTTCCTGTCATTTCAAGACAACAATTAATATGTACCTAGAACCAAATGACTGTCTTAGTATTATCCTTACGTGAGAGCACAATAACATTGGTTAATTTTTATAAAGAATATTTTTATGAGAAATCAGTATCATGTTCATCTTACCCTGTGGTTGGATCGAACTTGTTGTGCATTACATATACACGCATAATAAGAATACAAAAGCAGACCGACCCGAACTCCAAGTCAAACGTACGGCGTGTGGCGTGTGTCCATCAGTCCTCAGATCAGGCAAGTCCATTGTGTTTGTGTATGTGACGACCATACTGATTTCTTATTCCTGTCCGAACGAAAACAGATTAGAGGCGACTGATTATTAGAGGCGACTGATTCTAAATTGACATGCGCACTTGCACAGGTAGTGGTAGGCAACGAAGACAGATTTCAACGTTCAAATAAACCTTTGCAAGTTCGATTTGGAGCACTCCATGTGCTGACACGTGTCCATGGATGACGCACATGTACTCTAAACAATGATCTCTAAGCTAGTTTTGTACAATAGTTAAGTACTTATCTGCCTTCTTTTTTTTTTTTTTGAGGATGTACTCCTAACTAATTATAGTTTAATTAATTGCACTGAGAAGAAATATTTAGTTCGTTTCGTTCACAGAATCAGTCTCATAAATAGCATATGGGTAATTCTTTGAACAAAAGATTCAAAAGCTTGAATTGGTACATTCATGGTAGTATTCCTGTGAACTAGAATAGTCACACCGGATTTGAAGGGGGAAAAATCAGACACAAAGAATGGCGACTAAGAATATTCAGTTGGCCTCCTGCTAGTTTCCATGCTAGTGAGGTACCGAGGGGTGACAAATGGACTGGACCTCTGAACCTCATGCGCTTGGGACAGTACAATGGTGGATCAGAGTCTCCTGCCACATGCTGTGGAAATATTTGTTTACCATTTGACATCGATGTCAATTTAATGTATTACCGTATTAATTAGCCTCACTACAAAATCCGTTACTCCTATTCAGGGAACACTCGATCATGGAAACTCTATGTAGTATTGCACAAGGAACACACAAGTTTTAGAAGCACATTAATTTAGCATTTGGTTGGATGAACATGTATGTATGTATCACACACAAGTATGTCATGTGCTTAGGTATGTATTCACGCCTCAAGAACACAAGTCCAGATCGACTAGACCTAAGCCAAGAACCGTGTGGTATACTGGTATAACGTTACCGATGTCCGAGGGAACGTGGGTCCATTGTACAAACAAGACCCTGCCCAGTTATTAGACTGCGACCGATTCAAGTTGACACTGACCAAGCAGGGAAGACACAGGGACTTCAACGTCCAAACCCGTATGCATGTTTTGTTTACGCGTTGTACTACCATGCATGTCACATGCACATACTACTTGATTTTCACTGCATATAAGCCCATTTATTTATAACACTGAAAACACGCTACGAAGAAGCTACAATGTTCGCACAGTTATGCAGAATTAATGTACCGAGAATGTCAGAACATCAATAGATGCAAGATGAACTGCTGTGGGCTGTAGCACACTTAAACCGTATTTTTACTGCACAAGAAACATATTTCGAAACGCTGGGATCATTAGCTCAGTTCTTGAGGAAAAAAAAAGGCAGTTTTGTTTGTCAAATATCACAGCTAATGCTTAGGAAGGCGCATTCCTTACTTATTACAAAATTTCCTGACCGTAAGGTAAACATTTGCAGTATTTTATTCCAACGTACAAGACAGGAATATAGGATAATAGCTCAGCGGACAGGTATGTACAGCCATTCTATGATACTGCATCGCTGGTTCCCTAACATGAGTTTCTCAGAAATTCCTAGCGGTTATTTCTGCTACTCTGCCCGTGTAATTCCAAAATTCCGTCCAGCTGTTGTCCTGCAACAGGAATACTTCCCCCGAGAACACCTGCAGCATAAACTAAATATAAAGACAATGCTGACAAAATATTTCCTTGGCGGTCATGAAAGATATGTCAAAAAACCAATGGATAACAGAGCTGTTTTTCTTCAGAAGGAAAAACAATAGGAGGTTACGAATTTATGTTAGTTACAGTTTCACAAATCCACCATTCAAAGAAAAAGAATGGAAGAAACCACCTATAATTGGGTGTCATTCAGGATGGCTTTTAAGTGGGTTTTGCTGCTCAAACTAGTGGTGTAAAAGATCAAAGAGCTCATAGCAATACTCCATAAAGACTTGAAATCCAAATCACTTAAATAAAATTCTTCAATTGATGTGATAAATTGTTTTAATAGAATCAAGTTTTAAGCCAACGTAGCACTGCCTAAACATAAATGTGCAAGTCAAGAAGAAATTGCTTACCTCCTAGGAAAAAATGGTATCTACTGCTTACTTACAACCTCATCTTTAGATTCTACCTGAAATTGAAGGGGGGAAAGGTGTAATCAAACATATAAAAGACAAGAAATAATAATTCTAGTCAAAAGCAAATTATTCTCAGAACTTATATTTCCTAGTAAATATGCAAGTAAGCCAAGGAAAGATTTCATTTCAGGGTGGCATTGTGTGGACCTGATCTGCAGATTTTTTCCGAATTTTTCTAGTTTCGCTCCTCATTGTGACGAATTCCTCAGCAGTTGTTGGGTGGATACCAATGGTGCCATCAAAATCTTGCTTTGTCAACCCAGCTTTAACAGCAATTGCAATTCCCTGACAGAAAACGCGTAAATTCAGGAACCAGTTAAGAATGAAACAGAAATCGGGAGTAAACATGAAGTCATGCAAACCTGAATTATCTCAGGTGCATCATCACCACACATGTGCACTCCTACAACTTTGTTTGATGTAGCGCACACAAGAATCTTCATTAATACACGATCAGGTAGTCCAGACAGAGTGGCCTTGAGAGGCCTGAAGTTGGCAACAAAGACATCAACATCACCATACTCTTCGATTGCCTGCAAAAATAACCACCTATGAATTCTCTGTCTGTTGCAAATTATGACACTATGATGCAGGCTATGTATCATCACCTGCTCCTCAGTAAGACCAACTTGTCCAATTGGTGGTTGGGAGAACACAGCAGAAGGTATAGCTCTGTCAAAAATTGAAATTCACAATGAAAGAGTAGTCCGTTGATATCCATAAATGTCATGGACTCATGGCTAGCATCCATGACGGGATAGACACCACCGGATGGAGTCGGCTTGTTGGGGGATGAGAACTTAGATCATAGATTAGAGGGAGGAACACAAGAGGGGAATTATATTGATTTCTTGCTTGCCTTTGATTGGTGCATCTCTCCTTTCATAGAAAGGTTTATTTTGATTCCTAACAAATAGATCTAATCTACTACTAACAAACCTAACATTATCTCTAACTAACCGTAACCTTGAGGGAGAGGGTGCTACAGTAAGGGTCATGCTACTGTGCCAAACCAGCCTAGGGAGCCCAGCCGGCTGCCCATAACAATAAAGTAGTGAGATTAATTATGGTTTTCAGTAGAAAGTTCAAAGTCTGTTCTGGTTGGATAGGTAAGCCAAATGATCCATCAGGACAACCACCATGAATATGTGGTGTTCACGATTGCTGGTGATGATATGATAAATATACACACCTGTAATCTGGTTTGGTAGGTTCATTGCCAAAGACAGTTTTCGCAAATGCCCCACCCTCCATCAGTGCAACTGGTGTCAGGTTGACCCTATTGGTAACATCTCCCACAGCCCAAATGGAATCAACTGAGGTACGAGAATACTCATCAACCTAGCACGAAATTGTTGCAAAAGCTCCAAAGGTTACAGAGCGGCAAACAAAATGAGATAAACTTGGCACCAGTTATTGTAATAACCTACCACTATCGCACCATTCTTATCCATTTCAACCCCCACCTCTTCCAGTCCAAGGTTCTACAAGGATTGCAACTATGTCAGGAATTAGAATGAATCAATCAATATATGTGTAAAATCTCAAGAACTGCAAGTGCTCTGTGTTACTACCTTTGTATTTGGTCTGCGACCTGTTGCAAACATTACATGTGAGAACCCACCAAAAGTTTCTTTATTTGTCTTCAGAGATAACAGACCATCATTTGATTTAGTTATAGCTTGAGGGCTCTGTTCTGTATGAAATGTGATGCCCCTTAAAGACATTTGTTCAGAGACAAAATCTCTAACCTGTGCATCCAAAACAGGACAAAAAATAAACAAAGAAGCAATACATTTTATCTGTTACCAACGCTACCTTTGCTCTTCTAAATATATGCTCACCTCTTCATCAAATCCTCTTAAAACTTTCTTCTGCCGAATAAACACATGGACTTCACTTTTTAAGCCATTGAAAATGCCAGCAAACTCCAAAGCAATATAGCCACCTCCCACTATTGCAATTTTCTCAGGTTTTGAAGGCAAATCCAGTGCAGCATCCGAATCTATAACATGCTCTATACCAGGGATATCTGGCATCGATGGTCGGCCACCAACACCAACTAGTATGTGCTTAGCAGTGTAGAGCTTACCATTCACGCTGACAGTATGAGGATCAACAATCTGTACTAAGAAAAAGAACACATAAGCAAACACACCTTTTGATGCAGTATTCATTTCAGAGGCAGTCTTATCCAAAATATAACCTGATATACAAACATCACCCAACCTTTCCACGGCCTTCAATCAGAGTGACTCCTGCATTGTTTAAAATATTCCTGTAAATGCTAACTAGGCGCTGCAGCTCTGTGTTTTTATTGGCTATGAGAGTGTTCCAATCATGCTTCGGATCAGTCTCATATGTCCATCCAAAGCCACGAGACTCTTCAAACTCGTGAGAGTACTTGGATCCATATACCAGCAATTTCTTTGGAACACAGCCACGAAGCACGCATCTGTGATGCGAAAAAAGGCATTGTGATATACATCAAAAGTCAACAAATAAAGCATATTACAAGGCTAAATATAGAACTGACTGCTAAGTACTAAGCAGATTTCATGAATATTAGTTTGGAACATAAATCAATGGCAAACACAGAATAAACAGGCTAAAGGATATTCATAGAAAAATGTCTTACCCTAAAAGGTTAACAACCTACCAAGAACAGATTAGATATTAGACAGAAAAAGGAATGTTGTAGTCATGTGGTAAATTCTGCAACTACACTTCCAGATTCCTTTTGACTCTATCACATAAGCATTTTGCATCTCCTCAATAGTAATAAGCAGAGGCTCATCAAATACGTGGTCCAGTTCTGTCCAAAATTATTAAACTGCAAATGCTGGAGCAATGCTGAAACAGGCTACATTACAGTGGCACAGGCAACACAGAAGGGTTTGCAATTTCTGCAGGTGAGCCTATTGTACATCCAACCAAATTCATCAATTAACACTCTAGTCGAAACAGCAAAACTTCAAGCATTTATCAAAAGTTGCACACCCTTTTGATGAAAGTTGCACACTTTAATTAACACTCTAGCGGATTCAGAGTTTGATGAGCATATAATTGCCACTGGACAAACGTCGGAATGACACAAAATTGTGTAAGTGGAAATCATGTAGCTCAAACACTGATACATCAGGCCAAAATCTCCAACACAAGAAGAGACATCGGCAATCAATAATCACAGACGGCAAATTCATAAAAATATTATTATTGCCATTTTGATGTTCGATTACATTTAGTGTTCTCAGTCCAAAATCCAAATACCCATTCCAACAAACTATAAATGCGCATGGTAGTACTACAGTGTCGTAGTAACAGTAAAAACTTCCCGCAACCAAGCAACACTAACTAAGTAACAATTAAATATAACTGAATGATAGTACAGGCAGCAGTTTAGTAGGCAATCACCCTCCAGTTAGAATCACTGCATGAGAAGTTCAGCCCAACCATGCGAATGGCAGATGCAAAACCGAGGCAAACTTTGTGGAAGAGGCACGATCAGGCCAAGCAAAAATACACGAAGTATATACAATACAACACATGAACAGGAGAGGCATCAACTTACGTGCCGCCGAGGCCACCGAGCTCGTCCGATGCGATCGTGGCGAAGGGCATCTCGCAGATGGCGACGCGCGCGCCGTGGAGCGTGGAGGCGAAGCGCGACGCGCGGACGCCGCCGCTCCCGGCGCCGATGGTGAAGAGGTCGTAGTCGTACTCCCGCTCGGCGGAGGCGCCGTTGGCGGCGGACGCCGAGACGTGGCGGCGGCAGGGGCGGGCGAGCCTCGGGAGCGCGGCGAGGGAGGGGAGGCGGAGGAAGCCGCGGCGGAGCCGGTGGGCCCCGCGCGGGGAGAGGGTGCGGGTCAGGGTTTGCAGCGTGGAGGAGCAGGAGAAGGGGAGCGTCGCGTGCGCTGCCATGGCTGGCTCCTCGCCGCTGCGGCGGCGGCGGCGGAGTCACCGCTTCCGAGAGTGTGAGGGAGGGGAGGACGCGGAGAGGTGAGGCAAAGCCTGGCCAGATAGATATGATTCGTCTGGTGAGAGAAGAGAATGCGTCTTCCTCCGGTCTCAAGGCGTATAGTTTGGGAAAAACCGAACCCCGCTAATCAACTGTGAAGCCGTAACTGTGATCGTCTAAGGCCACGTTCGTTTCACCAGGAATGAGCCTTGGGAAGAAATCCTGGCCGGATTGTTACTTTAATTTATGTAAGCTTTCACAAGCTGGATTGATTTACCGACCTGCGGCCATGCCTGCCCGCCGACAGCACGAGCAGCGAGGTCGCCATTGCCCAACGCCGTCTCTCATGATTCCCATCGCCTCGTTCACGCATACCAAGTTCCCTCTCACCGAGCCCCATGCTTGTCTCTCAATGCTATAGTCCACGCCTCGCTGACCGCTCTCGCTCGCCTAGATTCTCTGGTCTGCTCGGATTCGAGGATCGTTCTCCAAGACGGCCTGCTCCGGCCAGACTCCATGTCGAATATCTATTTAATTTGTATGTAATGTGAGTTGAGAGGATTCATTCGATTCCGCCGGCGTCAAGGGCGGGCGCTAATGACTCAACGAACGAGAAGCCCTAACTTTGGTTGCCGAGGAATGCATATCTCCATGGAGGTGCATGGAGAACCATTCCAACCAGGAATGTTGTGTTAATTTGAACTATTTTGATCACCTGGAATGATTCCCGGTGGAATCAAGGGGAAACGAACGAGCCCTAAGGAGTTTACGTAAACGAATTTGCGCGGTGGATTCTGGTTGGGCAGAAGCACCTGGATAGTGGATAGGATAGTGATAGTCGCTCCGTGTCCTGGTAGTCAGCATTCGGGCTGAATGCTTTCACTGATCTCCAGCCGAGGGATTTTTACCACGGGACGGCTGGAAATGATGTCCAGGAATCAGAACAGCTCCTCAAAACGACTCGACGGCCACCACTGCCGGCTCCTTCTTTGTTCTGATACTGAATACTGATACCGTCAGTCTCGAGCTTCTTTGTAGGATCCATGCCAGATGCTGGTGGATTTGGCAGTGGCTCCATCCATCAGTCTAGGTCCGGAATTCAGACAGCTTGCGTTGCTGCAGTGGAGGCTTGTGCGCATTCCAGGCTTTTTACTTACCCCTTCTTTTGTACTAATTAAATTAAGAAAAAGGTGTGCATTCCAGCTGGGAGATACTTCTTGAACATGCTCTCTGCGCATGCTGTGAGGTAAGTCGTGCTTTATATAAAGAGAATGTCGAACGAGATCCTAACAGGAGTGAAACAAATCTGGCTCTCCATTAGGAGAATGTCAATGGCTATCAAGCTTTACTCCAAGGGCATTTCCCACTGGGGAGTTCCATTTTCCTCATCCAGACATCTAGCATCTAACTATGCGCAGTATACATACCCTGTGCCATTCTTCCGATCATGCCACACTAAACTGTTGATAACGAAGCATCAAAACGATGTCCTCGTGTGTCAGTAACTGGCTCAGTTTGGGGAGCACCTCATGAATGGTAACAAGAACCGGATTTCCTTTGGCATACAAATAAGTTTTCATATGCCCCCAGTGATAAGGTTCTGAGTTGTCGGACCTGAACTTTCATCACTCCCATCCTTGTGTTATGCCTGAATTAGGGCATGTATATATGTGGAGATCAAGTCAGATACAGCCTGTAGGTAAAACAAATGGACAAGCAAGAGAACAAGAATGTTTAACAGACCTCTTAGTTGCTCTGCCAAAGATAGATCCCCCAAAAGCTGAAGCCGTTGAAAGGTTTGGATGGTTTCGTGAATGAAGCTAAGGGTAAAACAGCCTTTTCTTATGTCAAATGTGAAATGCTAGAGGGGACGAATTTATCTCACAAAGAAAACAGCAAGGCCATACCTAGCTGATTTTGTCTAGCTCCAGTATTAAAAAAAGAAAAAAGAAAACATTGTATTCATTAGTCAGAAGGAAACAACAAGGCACATAAGGCACATACTCAATCAAGTTTCCTTTATCCTTTCTTTATTCAGACATCTGGACCATACAAGTTGTCCGTGTTATTCACTATGTTTACAGTGTGTAGTTGAACTCTGTAGTTGAACTGTGCAGTAAAATATTTGCACCAAAGAAGTTCTATAGCTATGGAAGGAACAAAACTTAATTTGTGGCCTTTAAACTATGTTTTGCTTTCCCCTTTGTACAAAAAGAAAAGGATTATAAACAGGTTATATGTTATCTCTTCATAGTAGCAACAGCTGTTAAAGTTTATGTGAAGAGATATAAGATGAAAATTCTATCTTGAAGTTCCTTCGTCCATCATAATTGGCTGTTCACCTTCAAACTCCGATATCACAATGAGTGAATCATTCATTTCAAGAAACAGTGGCTCCGATTTGTTGATAGGATTAATATGCTGCCATAGGATAAAGTAAATATTTATTATTAGCACCTAACAGATTATGGCTGCTGATGTTCAAAATGACAAAGAACCTCATGTCTAAGCAAATCAGGTCAATAGAATTTTAATGGCATCTGAACAAAAAGATGATCTTAACAAGACCTTATGTACTTAGAACATCATTTACACATAAACTGACAAATAACAAAGAAAACAAATTACCTGCTTGCCGTCCTTGACGTAACCAATCGCAACTTCACGACGTAAAACTGCTCTTTCAGAAAGCTCCAAGAACGACATCTTCTCTCCTTCCTTCATGTACAGCCCAATTTCCTAAAATGAAATAAACGCAGCAGGGTAAATGCTTTAAAGACCACAGGCAGCCTATGTGCTGGGAACACCAACTATGGCAATAGTACCTTAATGTAGATCTCATCGCCTTCAGCGTTCAGGATATCCTTCCAGACTTCATTCAGCTCACTACTTTCCGCAACTACATTTCATTGTTAGCATTAGAAAAAGAACTTCAAAGAAAACGAAACAAAACAGACAACCAACCTTGTGCTGTCACACAGCTCATTATTTCCTCTGCTCCAATAAATGAAAGGGATGGTCTTATTTTAGATATCTACATAAAATGCAGAAGTCAAGAATTTTTTGTCCAAATTTAATAGTTTTCATGATTTGAGCAATTTAATATATTAGAAAATTCTTACTTGTTTTCCCAGTCCCATGTCAACGATTTCTGATACAAGATTTTCAACCTAAAAGGTATTTCAAGTGAAAAATCAGACAACACAAACAAATAGGTGTCTTTTTGGATTTTAGAGTAGGAATATTTATATTTATAAGAAAAAAACACTGGATAATGGTTAATCGAACCACATCAGGATCCAATTTAAGTCCCGTTATAAAAAAAACTCAAACTGCAAGGGAAAGACCGCCCCTGCAGCATTGCATTAAGAAGAAACTTCTCGGACGCAAGCCGAGAAACACCCCAAAGGCCGGCTGCCCTGGACGTGCCACCAAGCGCTATGACACATGCCTGCGGCCATGTGCATCTCGCTGAAAGCGACTCAAGTGTTTAAATGTATAACTCAAGAACACAACCGTTATCAACGGAGAACAAAGAATAAAGTAGCATCATGAAACTAAATGTATCTCACTAAACAATGATTTGTACATTCTGGGTCACATTTGAGACTAATAGATACTTTGATGCAAACATGCAGGTTCACTTATTGCATTATAAACATTATTAGTTAAGTATTGGTGAGCAGAGCTGACCGTAACGCCATGTTTCTGGCAAATGTTTTCAGCAAGAAGAAGGGTATATGCCAACTGTTTATCAGCCTGTGCAGCATCTGCTGGAACCAGAGTCACAAATAAAAATTCACTTATAATAATTATCATAATGATAACAAAAAACAACAACAGCAATGATGATGATAGATAAACACCATAGTTCTTTTACTGGTACCTCCAACAAACCAGTCTTTGTCAGATATCACAACTATTGAAAGTGGAACCTCTTTATCAGGGGCAGATTTCTGCATGTTAATTATCGTTTCCTTCAGAGTATCATAGTTCAAAGGACACCCCACCTGTATCAGTATGTTTTGAGATAAAATTGAGAGAGTAACTTTTTTGTCTGTCCATGCACACTAACAAACTTAGAGACTGAGAGATACCCGATGAGTAACTTCAACATTTTTAAGCTGGTTCTGCAAAAGGGGATTGATGATACTGCTCCTCTCTTTAATAGGGGTTTCTGACAAAATTTCCTGCACATTTAACTAAATTTGTTAGTAAAATTATACCCTAACTTTTGTATAGGAGTACAGGTATAACTGTATGAACCATGATTAAAATGTGAGTAGCACGATTTGTTTATTTTTGTCACTGCCTATACATACCACTGTACTACCAGGTCCAAGGTAACTATCATACTCCTGTATCATTTCAGTAACTTTTGGTCGCCAGCCAACAATAAGCACACGTTCCTTTGGTCCCAGCATATAATCACTGCTCTGCATAAAATTAACCACAGATGAACCCCATAATTTGGAAAGCGATGAATTACCATAGATACATCATTATATCAAACTTTACCTTAGAAAGAGATTTTGAGGGGCGCTTTACAATGTTCTTTAGCCGTGTTTCATTATCCATGGTAGTAGCCGTATTAAATGACCCTTGATCCTCTCTTGATTCTGAGTAATGACTCGATGTTTGTGTTTCTTTCGGTACACTTAACACTCTATATTTTGGTCTTCTCATCCCATGAACAGGAGCAATAAGAAGCAACTGTGAAGCAAAAAAAGAAAAAGAAAATCAAGCGTGCATTAAGTCAACATTCTGAATACAAAATGTCAGGCATTGTGATGGTGCAGCTACTGTAGATGGCGCAGGGAGGAAGGGAGGCGGCTGCTAGGACAGAGGGCGGGCGCAGGGAGAGAGGAGGAGGCGCAGGGAGAGGGAGACGGATAAAAGGGAGAGCAACTGCTCAATTCTTGCTTAAGATTCAAACGGTTACATGATCCCTATTCTTATAGTC